ACTATAACAGAAAATGAAGTCCTACCATGTTCCTTGGCTTCCCATCGAGCCTTGGATAAATTGTGCCACACGCGCTCGACATATGGGCAAGTCGAGTCCAATTTAGATACCCAGCCTGAAAGATCCCTTGCCGTATCAGGGTACGCCGCGGCAGCTGCATCAGCGGAGGAAATCAGTCCATAAAGAAATGTATCCAAAAGAAGAAAATGAGCAGTTAATTAAGTATGTCTACTTACGCTTCATGTTCCATCTTTCGGGGAACGACATCCTCTCTGTGGGAATCAAGTCCGAAGTCCTAACTCGGACAAAGCAGCTCATCCATCCCCCATTCTTAACCTCATCGGTGCAAGCAAAGAGGGCCCTAGAGTCCCAGCAAAGGAGCTTAATCAGGTCCCCCGTGGAAGAGTCGGGGACTGTACATTCTGATCAAATGATCAAGCATGAAGGGCAGCCCCTCGATCATATTCATGTAATATCTGTTCATGTAAACAATACACCAGAATGACGGATGAATTTGGCCGAGAGTCACTTGATATCGTCTGCAAAAGTGGAGGACCACAGTATCTATCAAAGTCATAGAGGGCACCGCCGGGCCAAGGGTAAATGGATAAGTATACACACCGAGGAAGTCAGCCTTATACATCGTTATGTCTTCCCCCCGAGAAGAAACCTCCACTAACATCGTATCTCCCCAACGATAGTCGATTTTTATCCTTTCGATGTCCGTTATTAAACTGATGTATCGAGATGCAGGTACGCATCGCCCCGACTTTGAAAAAGGTCTCTCGACCTTAAAATTAGAGGTCATCTCAAAGGTCTCTAGAGCGCATTCTCCAGTGCTGGGAAACGCTATTGTTTTACCCTCAGAGGGGAGCATAGAATAGGAAGGCGTATCTTTATGAGGGATAGGGGTGGAAGTGTTCGCCATTTTTACCATAGGATTGCAAAGAAGAAACGAAAAATAGGTTTCAGGAAAAGACCAAGAGAGAGGTAAGAGAAAAGAAAAACTCAATTGGGAGCCTAATGATGCAGTAGAGAGGAATGGGCAAAGAAATGAGTATTTATAGAAGCCTAACATGTGCGATTGGAGCAGACCAAAAGACAGCCAACAACTATAATTAATTCGAAGATTTTGAGGATTGTGTGGACGCGACCTTTGGAAGCCCTATTACATCGGTCGCCTGGCAGGGCACAACTATTTGCTTTGATGAAGGCGCCCGAGGGGTAAGATCTCGAGGATGTTTCTCTTCGTTTTACTATGAGAAACGCGGGGACTATCTGTATACGGCTAAAATCGGGAAGACCAATTTTACAATTGACAAGGCATTGCGCAATCTTGCCTTGAAGGTCCCGGAGGATAACTCGGGGTTCGATGCCTTCGGGGAGTCCTCGCGCCCGGTATTGGGGCGGAATGGGGCGGTGTTTATCGTCGATAAGCGGGAAGTTCCCTAGGAGCTGTATTTTCTGACAAACGCCTGCGCAAACAGTGACAGTCTACACCATGCTGATTCAGTGGTTGTACCTGCTACTTTATGTAATAATTACACATGCATTTGTACTATGTTGGGATTCCCCCTCATATATAAAGGGGGCCCTTGTCATTTTGTAGAAGGAGTTATGCTCAATATTGAATACACAAGAACATTCTCTCTACTCTCTAATATATTCACTTGATCTTATTACTTCCATTTATTGCTCATATCCATTGTGTTCTATTTATTGTTCTTTATTTATTGCTTATTATTGGCCATAGAGAGCCGTCATTGAATTTATTGCAATTGTTAGTCCTCCATCGACTACCCTCGGCAGGGCATCCGACTCGACCTCGAGGCCCCGATTATTAGCCACTCGGATTGGTTATCACATTATTTTCAAGCTATTATGTTGTTTCCAAGTCTTTCACTTAGCATCAATTGCCTAACGACTAGCATAAAAATAGATCACTGTTATAAATAGAATTTTTTTTATGGTGAATGTCTATATTTAGAGAGATTCTAGGATTCATTACTTGGTGGCTAAGTCACTCTCTCCCTATAAATAGAGGGTTCTATTCCATTGTAATTCATCCCAAAATCAATAAGAATTCTCTCTCCCTACTTTTCTCTGCAATACTCTTCTTCTCCTTTTATTATTTTATAACACGTTGTCAGCACGAGACTCTAACCTATTGAGTAGAAGCTTTAGGATTGAGCATAATGATTGTCAATTATTCCATGAACTTCCTTCATGATTAAATTCTAGATTTAAGGTAAGTATTTTACTTTATTTCTCTCTTTTAAATTCTTGAATTCTATAATTTGATTTTAAATACAAGCAAAGACAATAAACTTTGATTATAACTCGAATAGAGTTTGTAAGAAATTACAACCACTCGAAGTGGTAAAATTTCTCTATCTTGTCATAATCAAATTCATGTATGATTGTGGGCAAAGAAATGAAAACTCCTCCCATTGAATTTGCTTCATTCTCATTCCCTTAAGAGAATGTGATAGCACTATATGATACGTCTGAAAGAAGACAAAATTATTACCATAAAGGTATTAATGGGTGTGGTTATCGCCTACCTTTATGGCTCACTTGATAATGAGATATACATGAAAATTCCCGAGGGATTTAAAATGCATAACACACATAATTCAAAATCCCGGAAAATATTTTCAATCAAATTGCAAAGATCTTTGTACGGTCTAAAGCAATCAGTACGTATGTGGTATAATTGTCTTAGTGAGTATTTATTAAAGGAAGGTTATATAAATGATGTCATTTGTCCATGTGTTTTTATAAAAAAAATAACATCGAAATTTGTTGTACTTGCCGTATATGTTGATGACATAAACCTTATTGGAACTCCTATAGAACTCCAAAAGGCAACTGATTATTTAAAGAAGGAATTCGAGATGAAAGATCTCAGAAAGACAAAATTATGTCTTGGTTTGCAAATTGAACATTTGGCAAACGGAATTTTTGTTCATCAATCTGCCTACATAGAAAAGGTATTGAAACAGTTTTACATGGATGGAGCACATCCATTAAGTACTCTGATGGTTGTTCGTTCATTTGATGTGAATAAGGATCCATTCCAACCTCAAGAAGAGAATGAAGAGCTACTTGGTCCTGAAGTACCATATCTTAGTACAATTGGTGCACTAATGTATCTTGCTAACACTACAAGGTCTGACATAACTTTTTCAGTTAATGTCTTAGCAAGATATAGCTCTGCTCCCACAAGAAGACATTGGAATGGAATCAAACACATATTGCGGTATCTAAAAGGAACTATCGATATGGGTTTATTTTATGGCAATAATTGCAGTCCTGATTATGTTAGTTATGCCGATGCTGGGTATTTATCTGACCCACAAAAGGCTCGGTCTCAAACAGGTTATGTGTTTACCTGTGGAGGCACTACCATATCTTGGCGATCGACTAAGCAATCAATTGTGGCTACTTCATCTAATTATGCTGAGATAATTGCTATTCATGAAGCAAGTCGAGAATGTCTGTGGTTGAGGTCTATAATACATCTTATTCGAGACAAATATGGTGTGAAATGTGACAAACTACCCACGATTTTGTATGAAGACAATGCAGCATGCATAGCCCAATTGAAGAGAAGATTCATAAAAGGAGATAGGACAAAGCACATTTCACCAAAGTTATTTTTCACACATGATCTTCAAAAGAATGGTGATATTAATGTGCACCAAATTCGTTCAAGTGAAAATATGATTTGTTCACCAAATCTCTACCGACGTTAACCTTCAAGAAGCTAGTGTACAAGATTGGGATGCGAAGGCTCAAGGATGTGAATTGATGCTCTCATCAGGGGGAGTTAATGCATGTTGCACTCTTTTTCCCTTACAAAGTTTTGTCCCACTGGATTTTCCTTGAAAGGTTTTTAACGAGGCAACCAAAAGGCGTATTATTAGATATGTGTACTCTTTTTTCTTTTCTAGAATTTTTTTCCCATTGGGTTTTATTTTAGCTAAGGTTTTAACGAGGCACATTATCTATTGAATAAGCATTCAAGGGGGAGTGTTATAAATAGAATTTTATTTATGGTGAATGTCTATATTTAGAGAGATTATAGGATTTAGTACTTGGTGGCTAAGTCACTTTTTCCCTATAAATAGAGGGTTCTATTCCATTGTAATTCATCCTAAAATCAAAAAGAATTCTTTCTCCCTACTTTTCTATGCAATACTCTTCTTCTCCTTTTATTATTTTATAACAATCACATATTTTAGAACCACAAAATCAAATCTAATTGTAATTATCATTTTCAAGGTAAACAGTATGTAACAGTTCTATGTACAAATATAAAAGGACCAAAACATTTTGTCTTCCTAAGTTAAACTTCAACTGGGTGTCTTCCTAACAACCTATTACTCCCTCCGTTTCATATTAAATGAGGTACTTTCCTTTTAGTCTGTTCCAAAATAAATGATACATTTCTAAATTTGAAAATAATTCAACTTTAAACTCTTTCATTTTACCCATTTACCCTTCATGAGAAGCTTTTATAGCCACACAAATGTCATGACCCCACAAACTTTTTACCCCTTAAGCTTTTAAGATCACAAGTACCTAAAGTCATTTTCTTTTTTCTTAAACTCCGTGCCGAGTCAAACTATCTCATTCAATGTGAAACAGAGGGAGTACTATTTAATAGCAAAGGGGTAATAATAGCATTTTGCCCGGAGGCGAATGGAGCCTTGTAGCACTAAAGTTTGAACAAAATGAAAGTTTTCGCTTCCAAATTTAAGGTTGAATAGTTTTTGGTTTAGCAAATGAGTCAAGCTGACATTTGGTATTAATTATTAGTCAAAACTTGTTTCATTCAATTTTGCCCTTTGACTACTAGAAAGGGACATTATCTTTGTATTGGCACGTAAGATGTAGGCGACTGTTGCCAAGCCAAGTTTGGTCAGTTCAAAGAATTAAAATAACTGTTTGCAAGTTAAGGTGCACTCCAAGCACATTAAAAAAAATCATATGAGTATATTACAAAATCTACAATCATAATAAGGAATAATAAATTAATCATAACCATCACTTCATACAACATTGCTATATAATAAAAAATCTTGTGTAGAAGTTTGCAACTGGGAAAGGGCAGCACTATTTTCTTTTCTCAACTTTTCCATCACTAAAAAAGCCATAGTCATTCATTCATGATCATTTGCCTCTTATATTTACTAGTAGATAGTTATTCTAAAAGTCAATGTCAATCTTCTATTACAAAATGTTAGTCCACTGCTGCCCATCTTTTAATTCCCAACGACTCAAGTCAGAATCTCCCCTTTCTCCACTTAACTTTCTAGCCAAACTTCTCTTACTGCTTTGCCTGCATGAAAATCATAAGGACAAAATTAATCAAAAAAAAAAGGTTCAAAATTGATGTTATGGTTTGTATTGAGTTGTCACAAGTCTAGTTGTCAAAGTATGGAGTGCAGTGATGGTACCAAGGATGAAAACAAGCAACAAGTTGTAAATGTGCTAGATTCATTTGGATCTTTCTTGGCCCAGCTATATTGCACGGACTTTTCAAAATGTTGTCATACCCGTATCAGATCCTTCAAAAATGTACTACTTTTGGAGGATACGACTCGCACCTAGCGATATTTTTGGAGAGTACAAGCAACATAGGTACCAGACTAACAATGAAAAGTCATTCACATTGACAACAATACAAAACATATGAATGTATTTTTACCTGTGAGTAGAGGAAAGTTCCAAAAATTGCAATGGCCGCACCAAGGGCATTCACTGGTTGAATTGGATTTTGGAATATGATGATGGAGGAAACTATGACTGAAATTCTCTTCATAGTGTTACCAATGCTAAATGTCAATGGGGAGATCTCATTTAGGGACATGTAGGAGACTTGATTGTACAAATGATAGAACACACTCTGGGCCACAACCCACCTAAACCAAGAGCAATTTCAAGAACCATAAGTTTATATGTTGTTATATAGACTACTGACACATGATACATATATACAAAACCTCAAGTCTAAGAATTGACCAAACAAAGTTAAACAAAATCTTGCAAATCTTCGATTTTCTTTTAGGTTTTTAAAGATCCTGCAAGTTACGTTGCACCAGAACCACATATGCAATAAGTATAAACTATGAGCAATGGAAACATGTGAGAAGACATTTGTATTTGCAGTTAAAAGAAACTGAAAGTGACATGAGATCCTACAGCAAGTTGGTACTTAGAACTTGTATATGATTTTCTGTTCTTATGTCAATATCAAACATTCATCTGATCGAGATAATTATTCAAATATCTAATATCACTTCCCATTTCCATTTCATTAAGTAAAATCTAAAGTCATCAAGAAGCTAACTTGAAGAATTAAATTTAGTAGGGAATATTAAAACCAAATATTAATATATTAGTAAAAAGTATTGTACTTACCATACAAAATTAGGACCAATTTGGGAGACTGCATTCTGCCAACCAAGTGCCCATACTTGTGGACCCTCCACAGCAATGGCAAAGGGTGTAAGAATCAAAAGAGACATAATGGAAAGACAAGCATAGTAATTCATCCCTCCAACAGACTTCCCTTTCATCCCTTTCTTTGAGAATATGTTTCTGAATACAAATGCCAAGTTTGATACCATTGCCCCCATAAAACCTGCATGTTATTAACATCAAGAATTGCATTATTAGCAACATAAATCTCATATAACTCTAAAACTTGACGACTACTACTAAGTAGTATGGCGGGATGGATAAGATTCCTGCACTCTTAACCACTCTCAGCTTCTGTCTGATTGAAATCATCAAAAAGCCATAAGTCGGAGTCAATGGCGAAGCCACATAGTTATGAGGGTGGTCAACTGAGCACCCTTCGTCGAAAAATTGCACTGTGTACATAGATAAAATATTACGTTTTAGAGGTATATAACACATATTAAACACTTTTTGTTGGAATTTTTTTTTACTTCTTTTAAATTTGAACACCCTTGGAAAAATTCCTAGCTTCGACGCTGATCGGAGTGGGCTTACTAAGACTATGGCTAGAGCTCACTTCTTCCTTACTAGATGATTTCCATGAATGAATGAAGGTCTCGAGTTCAAGCCTATTCGGGAGTGCTTCCCTTTAGGGGATCCTAGGTGGTGCAAATGTGCGTTAGTCGGGCCAATAAATTTCAAAGTATTAAATAGCCAAGATTGATTT